TACTGAATTCGTTTGTTTTGTTCTGTATTTAATACCTTATTAAAGTATACATTGGAGGCGGTGTTTCCCCGTGTTTCCCTCTTTTGGTTTCTCTGTTCAGAAACAGACATTATTTTGTTCGCAAGTATACTTCAAATGTGACTTTAACTCCGAATTGTGCCCACACGTATGTCCTTATGAGTGCACACTCTCGTTCCCTTTGACACTGAATTGTCTGAAAGAAAATGTCGAATAACTCATGCAACAGATTTAACTGACCTGCCGGGATTGTTTTAGCATTGTCGTGATTCAATATGTGATTGCAGTCAGCTGATAGGGTGACCGATGAAAGAACGCGTCGAGCAGAATTTGAATTCCGAAATCTACTTTACTCATTAGGGTGCAGTCGTGTGCAATTTACAAAGCGCTGCAAACGCAAAATCCATGAAGAAACCTGGAGTTCGATTACAGTATCATTGTGTGTCACTCAGCTTTGACAGTTCACATCATGTACCATACCAACTGAATAATAAAACAATCCAGAGGATTACATCTGTCATTCTGCACAGACACTACAGATCATAGAACCTTCAAACTTCGTCTAATAAATATGTATAAAAAGATCATAAAATAAACATGAAAAAAAACACAGCAAGCGAGAACGATATAATTCCGAAATAATTTCGCTGCATCTCAACTGGTACTTACTGCAGAAAAAATAGTTTATTTATCACAGGTCATTACAATCAAAAGTGGTATCAATTCAGCCTTACATTTATGTGGTCATCAGGGCAACGCCAGACTGATGTAGACTTCCTTCTGCTGACAAAGTAGGGGCTTTCGGCGCTTGATTGCTATGGCCTCTGCAAATCTTAGCAGCCGTCCATTCGGGGTTGTTTAAGCAATCCGAAACGAAGTCCCACGGCCAGTCTGCAGCAGATGGCAAGCAATTGATTACACAGGTGCTCTATGAGACTGGCTTGATGGTCTGGTTGTTTGTTTAGCGCTCAATTTCACCGAGTCGCGTTTGACTCATACCGTCATGTGTTCAGTCACTCGGATGAGCAGCTGCCTATCTGTTCTTTCCTGGTAGATAGCTCCGCACCCACATTACAATTCATAGATTGTATGCCGTTTGGCGGACGGAGGGAGCGGTGAGTTCACCAAGGGCTTCGGAATCTGGATTTGTGCGAAGCGAACAACCGGACTTGCAGCGAAATGCGCACGAGCTACAGTTACCACCAGCCGTCTTCGTATGAGTTGGCCTACATCATCACCTTTGAAAGGGAGTTGAATGGTGATGGCTCATTTTAGTACCATCATCTCCGAGGGCTGGGGCTCGGCTCATTTTAGAGTATATGATTTACTTGCCTAGGACACTAAATCAATACTTTGGTAAGAAATATCTCCGATAAAATTTGACTTGAGATGAGATGTACATAAGCTTGAAATGTGAATAATTGTTGAATAACACTTGTCACTTGTTGCTTTGAATGTTTAGCGTGTATGTTAGCGTGTATGCTTTTTAACTGAAATGTGAGCTCCAGTGCTTGCAAACGTTATACACAATACAATACACAATACAATACAATACAATACAATGTTTAATTACAATTGATTTTTTTCCTATTTAATTTATCCCACTCCAGGATGGTACTCTTATTCAAACATGGGCATTCTTACGAGAAGCCAATCGAACCGCCTTTGAGCACTTACGCCAACTATCTCAGCTACTGCAAAGTTTGCACATGGATTTGCAAACAGTTGAGCGAGCAGTGACCTCGGTTCAACTAAAACAAACTCAATTGTCAGATGGGGAAAAACCCTATGACTGGCAAACTGGTTATGGTCATTCCCAGTCCAATTTGGTTCGAAGTGATTCTGGGAATGGTCTGTGTATGGATGCCGAAGAACATGGTCGAATTTTAGCACGTGTTCGTAATTTGGGTGAAGAGTTTGTGCGACTGTTCCGACAAAGTGTACTATTTCGTGATGTGCCTCAAATGCCCGGGCACGATTTGCATGTGCATTTGGTCCGCTTGTTTTTTCTGCGTGTTGCTCCCGAGTTTGATCGGTTGGCCAATCAATTGCAACATAATGACTTGTTTTCTGATGTGACAATGTTGGACTTGCAACGTAAAGCGAATCAGTGCAAACAAACTGGTGGCGCGAAGAAGTCCAATGCGATGAATTCTACCGCTCGGATATTGTCTAGCCATGTGGATCGAATCCAGCCAGAGCAGGCGTCGGAAGATATTGCCAGTCTGCAAGCTGTGCTGCTAGCAACTGATTCACAATTTAAACAGCTTCGGTCAAGCTTTATCAAACTCATTCAAGACAATCAGGAACTGATTGAAACGGTCTCCTTGGATCAGACTAAACTGGGCAATACGGCCAATTCCGGAAGCAGGTATTGTAATAATCATGAACTCTTTCTGCACTAAACATAATATTCGATATCAATACTATAAATCTATCTTCATGGGTAATTGTGATTTATTGACATTTGGAAATCTGATGGCATTGTATGTGGCAGGGGGAATATTTTCCTCTGCTGAAGAGAACTAATGATTGAACGTGAGATTAGAAACACTGAAACACATTTCCATTTGAGGGAAATCAATGACTTTGAATTAAACAATTATTGTAATTCATTTTTTCCTGACAAGGACCAAAAACAGACGGCACTACCTCTTACTATTTAGCGTAATTTGACTGTTAAATAGTGAACAGTTTGTAAGCATTTCGGCGTGCATATTTTAGCTGAACGAAATAATGCAGATATCTTCCCTTTATGTTTTCTGTTTTTTTTACTTTATACTAAGAGTTTAATTATTGTCAACTAACGAGTGTGTCGAAAGTGTTTGATCCGAATTTCAGGTGTTTTATTTAGTTGACGTGACCCAAAGAGATAACTTAGGATAAACATTGAAATCGATTGCTTTTATCTCACGCATGCTTATCTCATGGAATGGGATTGTTTGTGAGTTTTAGCGTGAAATTCGATTACATTGTACCTATTGATGCTACAGTGCCCGGAGTTTAATCAACTGCTGCGGTTCATTTGTTTCCTTCAATGCTCCTGATAACTAGCTGTTTAAATAATTTCCAGCAATAATAAAATCTGTATAGTTAAATTGTTCATTGACATTTTCATAGATAGCCGACTCATCAGTGACTGAATGAACTGTGAAATTGTTTCCCAGCGTGGTGAGTGGGTCACATAATATATGTTGAATAAAGCTATCTTCAAATAGACCCATGAATGCAGTGGTTTTCGTTCCAAACTTTTGGATAACCAGTCGATTGAATGAGAATGATAAATTGGAAAATGGAGAACAGTAATTGGGTTAGTTTAAGCCTGCAGTTCGAATAAATTTGCGCACAAACTGGGTAGATTTACGACTATCACTGTTTACGATACTGAGCTGTACACCTCAGTATTGTTTGGAGTACATCTGGAGTTTTATTTACTACCGAGTACAGCAGATATCTGTAACTAGTAGAAGTGAACTATCCTTACAATTTACTTCTTGTAAATTTTTGGGAGAAATATTTCCCAATTCCCAAAGTACCAGTGCCACTAACTTTGACAACATGACTTCAAATACTCAGTGCATTATGATCATCATCGTCATCGTCGTACAGCGAAATACAGCGAAGCGAAATTCACTGATCGCTGCCAAACTCGCAGTGAATATACGTTTAGTGGTGAAAATAAAGGTGCACAGGGATTGAACCTATTACGACGAAGGGAGAAGAAGGTGAACCTTTGCGGTTAACACACAGAGTGCGCAATCAAACTCTACCCACATACCGTTTCAAGCATTTTGGCTTGATGAGAATTGACATCAAGAACGCCACAGCCCCAACCAACCTGTTGCGGAGTCTTTCGGACCTCGACATGGAAGGCGCATGACACCTCTACCTAATAGTTCTTTGCATTTCTTCATACCTTTTGTCCACATCAGTTGTTAATCACCACGTGGTTTCCTCCGGCCTGGAAAGGCTACAGAGAATAGGGGACGATGTGGTAGACGGTAGCTGAGCGTACGTAATATGTGCCCTAGCCAGCAAAGCCTACTAACCTGAATTCGATGTTCTAGCACATTGATCCATGATAAATTCTAAAATGCATGACGGCTTATCTCCAGATTACTAACCTGTTGGCTCCATTTCACCAGGGCCAAAGTACGTATTCGCCGATAGTCGAAAACCTCTATTCGATGGATATCTTCTACTGGCCAATGTAAGGTTTCAAAACCGTAAAACACACCTGGTTAAACTCGGTGTTCTCATGCTATGCGAGCAGAGGACTTCAATTAATTTAGCTTCCCATCAGTGTCGTTAGTTGATTAACTAGTTTCGGTATACGCACCGGGATGTTCAAATGCTGAGATAATGATACTAGACTGCTATTTCGTCCCTTTGGTGATCAGCGCTTGCTAGCTTGTGTACAGGACCGGACACGAACCACGAGCCTTTCGGGTTGGGATTGCATCAAATTGCAATCAAATGAAGGCAGCAATCGGTACTTCTGTGTATTGTGATGATAAATGAAGGGAATTATGTGAATCCCGAGTGGGCAAATCCTGGTGTATGTGTGTGTGTGTCTGTGCGTGTGCGTGTACGGACGATAGGAGATTATATCAAATTCTACTTCCAAAGTGTTACCCTAGCCAAACAATGAATAGAAACCAAATAAGAATCAGCACGATATCAGTTGTACCAATCTTTGTTTTATATGAAACCACCAGTTAGCATACAAGTTCGTTTTTTTCGGCGCTACGTCAACTAACCAAATATAGCACAATTTATAATAGATTAGGAAACCGAGGAGAGAAGGCATGTCGGTCAATCCAACTGGAAAGCGCAGTGTGTGCGTCAATCAACGGAATGGTTTGGATAATTTTTATTCGGACAAAAAAATCAGACAAAAAGAGAACAGGAATATCAAAGCTTCTAATACTTGTTGATATATACGGGTAACTGAGAATGAAACCAACGAGGATACAAGCTACGATCAGTAATACAAACAGATCAGTAAAAACGATAAACCAAACGACAACTATCGCTGAGGAATGAGTTTAGCACAAAGGGAGCTGAAACGCAAGCATTGTAATCATTCGGAATAATGGTAAAATACAAGTAGGATAAGATCTTTATTACCTTATTATCATCATATATGATATGTTTGCATGCAGCTCAAAGCAAGATACTGTCAAAAGTGTGTTTGGATGGTTCATGTGATTCATTCATCCTCCATCGATTTGAGCATAAGACGCACTTCAGTTGCGGTTAGTTCACTTTAGGTTACCTAGCGACACTAACGTCATTAGAATGCTCGTATCGGGTAAATTTATCTTGATTTACAAAAGGAATTGAGAACCCAGTTAACTGGTCAAGTATTAGTATTGTTCTTTACTGTCATCAATGTTTGGTTACTGGGTTGTCACGGGTTAAATAAAACCAATTTTTCGAATAGCCATCATTTTATTACATTTATTATAACTTATTTAACTTACTAACTCAGTTACTAATAAAGTACGATGCATAAGTCACCGCAAGTTTCAATCCAAAACATGGATCATGCGATTATTTTAAGATTACGATGAGTTTATTCGATCGTCTCCGTCTGTCCTCTTTAATTGATTGGCTAATTTAAATAAACAAGGAATGTGTTTTCAAACAGTCAAACATGGATTGGTAACAGAAAGAATAACAAAAGACAATGGACCATATGAATCAGACCTTCTCGTAAATAGTTTGTTTATGCGCGTTTGCATACACTCAGTTTTCGAGTGTGTGGGGTCCCACTTCTTGGGAGTTCGTTGATCCCCCATATGTCAGACAATTTTATATTCGCGGCAGAATTCCGTGTGACAGCCGACAGTGCTGGTGCTCCACTACAGAGAGGAAACATTTATCCGCTGCTTGGTGTCGGTCACTACATGCAAACTTCGTCTACAGACAAAACCATGTATTAGAATACGTGACTTCAAATGCCGCACAACAGCAAAAAAACAAACTGGAAACTTATTCATTCTGACATATCATTATTTCCCCGGAATGAAAACTTAACAAAATCGAGTCCAATGTTGTGCTAAACAATGCCAAGTAAATTCTACGCCAGCTCTGTTCAAAGCTGTTGATTATGTCACAGTTTAGCCGGTAGACAATGCTGGTTTATTATTTCCAGTTTGTTGTGTTTGACCATTTTTGCGTGGTTGAAGAGTCGGTTAACGTTTTCCATGCTCTTTTTGCGTGCGCGATCGGGTGCTCTCACCAGTGCTCTGAGTATAACTAATTATCCTCTGTATTCTCCGGTAATTTACTTAGGTTCCAACGAGTATTTTTGGTCGTCCAGCGTGTGTGTGCAGTGAACAAAACCAGACTGGTTTCTTTCACATTTGAGAGGATGCCCGTTGTGGTAGCGAGTGAGCATTCAAGTAGTCGCCCGATTCGTGTTTGACTTACTTGGTAAACAGTCTCTCAAACAGTCTCAAAGATTATTGGCTGGATTCGACAAATTATTCGCAGTACCTATCTGTGACTATAGACGCATGAACTTGGTTATTAACTAGCATGTCAGACAAAAAAGATTTCATTAAAGCCCAAGAATAGTCAAGTTAAGTCAAATCGCTTTATTCATCCTAATGGATGGATTCTCAGCTTCTTGCACTCTAGGAATATTTATCGTCGCATACAGTCACAACAAGTGAAAAAAACAGCACCGTAAATTCAAGGGAATGTGGTGTGAAGGTTTGAAAATGAATGTCATTTGTGTAGGAAATTCAAGAAGTTTTCTCCAACGGATGCCTTTTGAGCTAGAAATCTCGAAAGATAGGGGATGACGGACAAACAAAATGCAGTGGTACGAGCCTACACCAGTTTATAGCATCTAGTTACAGAAGTGGATATGGGTTGTTCAAGTTCTGTGTGTAATGGGTGAGTGGTGTCTGATAGAATATTCTTGCAGAAGCTATCGCAAGAGGTAAAATGTTTATCGGCGATGAAGTTAAGTGAGTGCAAATAAGAAATACCGCTTGTGCGAGAAATAATTTTAATAAACCGGCGTAGAATTTTGTATAAAACTGGGGAGCAGTAAAGAAGATGAGTAACAACACAAGGATATACAAATCCAATGAGTAAATACAGTGAAGCTTTCAAAGAATGCAAGCGGAAAATAAAGAAACACAATCTTCGAATCTGTAAAAATGTAGAAATCAAATGTGAGGTCCAAGTGGGATCTTGGCTGGTAGTGACACCGAGGTATTGCAGCGAACTTACTAGGGGAACAGGCTGGTTGTTAACATACAGTGCAGAACAATTCCTTTCAAAATAATGTAGCCGTTCTCCTTTGGCGAGTGGAAAGGTGACATCGCTACATTTAGCTGCATTGAGAGATAACTTAGAAGACGAAGACCATACGTGTAAAGCAGATAAACTGGTTTGAAAATGTGAGAAGCGGAAATCACCTTGGAATTTGGAACCAATTGCGACATCATCAGTATACTTAATATGAATACCATCTGGGTTAGTGAGAAGGTCACAAATATAGAAAGAGAAAAGAAAGGGGAACAGAATTGCTCCCTGGAGCACCCCTGAGTTAACTGGTAGATATTCAGAGGATTTCCGAGAAACTTCGTGAATTATGTTCCACCAGCAAAATAATCTTGAAGTAGAGAGAGGGTATTATGGGACAACCCAGCGCCTTGGAGTAGAGACAAAAGCCTGCGTCTGCCAACACAGTTAAAAGCGTTACTATAGTCAAGGAAAACCACGAAATACCCTGCCGTGCATGTCTAGGGATCGGAAAACTGAGTTTACCAAATGTGCAAGAGTACCTAAGGTAGAACGTTGTTTGCGATAAGCAAATTGGTTGTCATCTAGCTGCCCGGAATTGGGAATAATGTTACCAAGCATAAAATTTTCGAAATGTTTTTAGTAGTAAAAAAGAGGTATAGACGATTGGTCGTAATTTCCCAGTTTCTTGTTTGAGGACTGCTGTGATGCGTACAGGCGTCCATTAGTCGTCAATTTTTTGTTCCCCAAAGCAGCGTTTAAAAATACCGGCATGTGGCTCCACCAGATAATGCGCACATTCCCTGAGGACGACTGGACATAACTCGTCGGGACTGGAAGCTTTTGGTATTTTGCCGCACTTCAGCTGTGCCCGCACCTGGTTAGAGTTGACATGTGAAACTTCATGATGGTCAACTGATTGGAAATAAGGATACGATACTTCGATTTGAGCTGACGTGGAAAACATGCAGTTGAGTTCGTCTACTGTGGGCTGAGACCCATGTAGTCTGACTTTTGTTCATAGCGCTCCAGATTTGCTTGCAATTACGGTCACCAAGAAGGGTTTCAGTGTAGAGTTTGTCAAAACTTTGGATCTCATTCTTGATCAGCACTGACTTTTGTTTAACTAAAGGTCAGTCACGATTTTTATATGCCCATTCCATGGTTCTTCTCAGGGTCATCAAAGTGGGAGAATAAAATCTGGCGAGACTGATGTACATAGGGTATAAGGGGCAGCAGATGTCAAAGCAGAAGTTCAAATAGCTTGTGAGTTGTTCACACTAGATCGAGACACTTGGATCTAAGAATTGATCAAAATTTGTACCAGAGATCATGTCTCTCAGTGATGCCATGTGGGCCAGGTTACACAACCCATGCAAAATCTTCCGGCCAGATGTACGTGTCAGTGTGCTATGATATTTCTTTGAGTAGACCTTTGGCAAAACATTTATGATGCAATGATTGGAGTTTGCCATAGGGGCTCCTCTTTACACAGGTAACAGGTCAGGATCGTTCAAAACATAAGATCAAGGTGCGCATATCCTCTTGTAGAGAAATGAACAAGATTGCGGAGAGAGATGTCAAGAAATGAATATCTGCATGGTTAAAATCGCCACTAACAATAAAAAGAGAGCATTTCATTTGGTTAGAAAGTTCGGATATAAATACATAAGCAAACGTCTGTACATCAGAAGTTGTATTGGAAGGTGCTATGTAAATGTTTGATGCCACGATGGAACGATGTTTACTAAGGAAACGGGGTTTACATTCAACCGAAAGACATAAGATATATCCTACGTTGTAGGTGAAGATAATTTTTGTAGACATATACCAAGATGATATGGCGTAGGTTATTAGACCACCGCCTCGATTTCTTGGTAAATAGTCTCTATCCAACCGATGTAAATCAAAGAAATGTAGCTCAACCAAAGAGTCGCTGATGTCAGGATGCAATCACATTTCTTGCAGCACAAGTATCCCCAACGTATGGTATTTTTTCGTCCTTTTCAGTTTCATGAAGTCGCTCATTTTTCCAAATAGTGATCCTACGTTTGATGAGCAAATAGCCGGGATAGAGATTTTTTGAGGTTTGGTGTTACTTAAAGCCGTTTTCCAGCGTGCTCGATGTTTTCTGAGGAAACCTGATCTAGACGGTCTGCATCTTTTGAATCTATTTTTAACTTGACGACTGAATTGATAGAGGAGGTCACTCTTGCGCAATAGCACATGATGTTTCAAATTATTTAAAGATTCCGGGCATACTTAATCATGAAAGCGACGAGAGAAAACTTGATTCAAACGATGAAATCTAATTTGTGACGCAAAAGTTGATAAATTATCCACTGGAGTACAAAATGTAGCATGGCCGAAATTTGAAAACCCCGCTCTTCAAGCAGTTCGTTTCATGTTTTACTGAGTTTGATTCCGATAACCCTCAAACGATTACGTGTGATAGCAGAACAAGATAGGAAGCCGTAAAAGACTTCTACTCCTGTACCTAGTTATAAAATTGGGCAATCACTGTGCCACTGAATCTCTGCATATATGGGCTATAGTAAAGAAAATGCAGTCCACCGTAGATCAGAATGTGTATAAACCTACACGTGCCATGAGCCATTGTTTCTTGGTTTGCTCGTTGTCTTTTAGACTCTTAGCCAAACAAATGTGTTCTTGATTCGGAAAAGTTAGTTAGATGGCGGTATAGAGACGAGCGATAGCAATGTGTTCCGTGCAAATGTAAATGCACGTGCTGTGAGTGATTACAGGTTTCGAATATCGGTTTGAACGATTACGTTGATTAATGGGTGATGAATTTCATGTTTGGAATTTCTTCTGGATCCCGTGTTTTGTTTTCTTGTTTTGTGTCTACTAGTTTTGTAACGATGACAATCCAATTGACGAGGGACAAGAATCGTTTGGTTCGCCTCGAATCAGTGCAAACGATCTACAATCCATTCAGTAAGTCCGTTTCGATACGAACAGTTGCGAATGGTAATTGTTCAATTGAGGATTGCGTCCAGAGTGAGATGGGTACCACGATAACACGAAACAACTATGGATGCAAGAGACCCACAGGTTTATGATTGGGAAATCGAAACCGTCTTGTAGCTTTTTGTCTTTGTGGTTTTTACCACCTTTTATTTTTCAGCAAGGGGGGGGGTAATCAAATGGCTGACATAAAATGTAATTGGGAACGTTTGGCAGTGGTGGTAGGATTCGAACACACGTCTT